TATCTTCAGTAGGAAAGGAGATTTACAACCTGACAGAAAGTTCTACAAAGAGACCCACTAAATCACCTCAGAATCCCCTCGAAAAGTATTAATAAGGAAAGAAAATCTCTGGTACCGTTCTTTATTTCATAGCTAGTTTGAAATGTTCACAAGGAGGGGGGCGGTTTCTGAATGCAGAAATCAGTGCTTGTCACAATCTGTGCTGAAACCAATTCATCTTACGTAAGCTGTGCACAAGCTGCGGGACGGTAATGAGATCTCGTTAACACAGACTGTATTAAAAACTTCACTGGCCCTGAAGAACGATTATCTCTCCAGTCCTCCACGCTGTGCTTTCTTATAGTCTGAATTATGGTGTCATCCTTACAGTTAGGGCTTGTGTTGTGACAGGTTCCCAGGCGTTGCGCTAAGAAAATTAGCGTGGTGCTGTGCTGGGACAGCTGATAAATACTGACCTTTAGTGACAACTATTACTATTTCTGCTGTCATCACAGTCGAAACAGTTTGCTGAGTTTTGGTGCTGGTAGGATGCAAACTGTAAACAAGGGAGTTTGATTAAACACAAATGCATCTTGCATAATTATGGGTTATTTATATTAATAAGAAGAAACTTGCATCTGTAGAAAACTTGCTTTAGAGGGTCCTTACATGTTGAAAGTTTTTGTGATAGTTCAAATGCTGCCATGGTGCTGCGTGATGTAGTGTCAGGGCAGTTCCCCCCAGATTATATATTAGAAAACTGCTTTGCTGCTTTTGGGAGAATACTGACATTTGTTCTTTCTGGGCTCCCTACTTCTGTCGAAACGATGTGGTGTCCGTTACGTTGTTCCCTAAACCAGACTGAAGCGATTGTGTATTTCCTCCAACATAAGGCTAACCTGGCTGCTCTTCCTTCTTTTTCTCTTCTTGCCATGTGAACTTCATTCTTAACTGTGGCAAATCTATTTGTTTATGGCAAACTTTAATGAATATGTTAATTGAAAGATCTCTCTCCCGATGAAGGTCACAAAATTCATGCGTGCATGCCAGTTAACCTCTTCTCTTCTAGGATAACAGTATCTTGAGCAGTATAATCATTGCCAGAGAGAGAGGTGCATTATGTGCAGCATAATGCACAATTATGGAAACATACGCTAAATACAACTATTGAGAAGGGAGTAATAAAATCATTAATATTCATACAGCAAGTAAAATCTGTCAGTCAAGGCATAATCTGTCACAGTGACTTTACTGTAACAAAGGAAATAATCCCAAACTATATTTGTTAGCTATCAGTGTTGAGCAACTTGCTAAGTGAATTAAACAAATAGAGTTTCTACTCTAAGAATAGATACCATTTTCCAAAGAAATTCTTTCCAGCTTTCCAGCTTGTGCTTCTAGATCAACTCCTCTTCTCCAAAACCTTTTTGCCCTTTGAGGTACTATTTCAGAGCATGAGCCTGGAGCTGTCTGGCTTCCTGCTCGGGTCAGCGTTGGTCGGTGAGCAAGCTCTCTGCACAGCTGCACAAAGCACGCCAGCCAATGTTCTTTATTTTACTTGCTGTCTTACCAAGTCATTATCCTTTTGCTTGGCCTTACTGAGTCTTCAGTAACTTAGGCGAGGTTCCTCTTCAGCAAATTGTAAGCTGGGGTAGTGTGCTCGTTGCTACCACTCTTTCTCAGCTGATTCTCGTAGCTTCTCCACTCACCCGAGTTGAGTCTCTGTGATCCGTGATGTTTTTCCTGCATTTTCTCTGACAAGTAAAGCCAGCAGTTACTCCTTGGGTTTTTTAACCTTACGGATTTGAGGAGAGCGAATATCCAGCCCTGACATTTGCCTCTGGACCCATTGAACTCCCTGTTCTCTCTGGGTCAGTAATGGTCTGTGGAACTAAACATCACCTTAGATTGTTTGCTTTCATTTGTTCCTCAGCGCTTGCTGCAGATGCTCTTTACTCTGTGTCACACTGAGTCAGTCCTTGGCTCTCAGTGCTTTGTTAATTGTGTTGTTTTTCAGGATGTTATCTTGCCCTGTAGCACCATAAAAGGAGAAAGGAAAATAATCCAATGGTTTTGAGGGAATAAAGATCCAGCCTAGCAGTACCCTGATACAGAATCTCAAGCACCTTATCTTATATTTGGTGGCAACCATGCTGTACTTGGGTATCAGGTTTGCTTGTAGATGTTACTTGATGACTTCTAGAGCCATCAAATTTGTAAGAAAAGCATGTAAGGTTTTCCTGGAAGCATCCTAAAAAGAGTCGGAAATAAGCCCAGAGTGCTTCAGAGCAACTTTTCTTAAAGTGTAGGGATTTGGCTTGGGTACCACTCCTGAGTACTGGGACTCAGGTTTGGTGTATCTTCTCCGCGCACCGATCGAGTGTTCTTCTAAGCTCAGAAGAAAAATGTGGTGGTTTGCTGATCGACACTGACCACCCCATAACTTAAAACCTTGAACCATACAGAGATGTCACGTAATTTTTCAGCACAATCAGATGCAAATGTTGAACTCTGGACCACTGTGGTAGATGTATGTGATCAAAAGTCATGTCAGCTCTCTGAAGAGAAGCAACATCAGCCTGCTTTGGCGTTGGATCAAGCTTGCCTCCTGTGAGGCTTCTGCTAGTTCCATGACAGACCCATTTTCCTTTCTGCTCTCTGCTGTCTTTGGTTTTTTTTGTGCTTTCTCCCATATAGTGCCAGCAGAGACTCCTGTCTTCCTTTGTCCTGATGCTGCTTCCAGACTTTCTTCCAAATTCTTGCGCGTATAGGAGACTGTGAAATTCTCACCTTGTAAATTAAGTCTCCTTTCCAGTACTGTCTTACTCACGGGTCAACTGCTTTTCTCTAGTACTGAGAAGTCCGGGTCTACAAGTCTTGATGCCTGTTGGCTGCAATCATGTTCTTCCAAAAGTATTCTGACTAGACTCTTCTTGTTTCTAATTTGAATGTGGTGTTGGATTTTTTTCAACCTTGTCCTTCACTTTCTGATCCCATTTGTCTCTGGTGAGTGTGATTGCTTCTTGTCTTTAGGGTAATGAATGGGATATTTTATCATTATGCAGAAACACTTTTGTAGGCCTTGCAATTGATAACTAGAATTTTAAGGTTGACTTCTTAATTCTTCTTTCCTCCATCTCTGCTTCCTGTCATCCGGTGATTGTTTACTTTTTGAACTTCCAAATTTTGAAACCTCTTTCATATGAGAAAAATACGTTTTAAAAAAAACATACCAGTGATGAGTACAGCTTTGAGGATCGCATGTCTTGCAAGTTTCTTTTGCCTGTACGTGCAGGTTTGGAGAGAACTTATTTTGAGGTGAGATTTTATTCCTTTACTTCCTCTTTTGGAAAGGGCTTTTTTCTGTTTGAAGAGGTTATTAATGTGTATTTTCTGCTAACTACTTCTGTAACTGACTTTGTATAAAGACCTCTTGCAAATTCATCCGCCTTGCATCTGTCTGTTGGGACGTTTTGATTCATGAAGTGGCAGTTGTTGGCAGGCGACTGCCAAAGTGTCCAGGAATCCTCTGCTAAATGGTCCCTGCCTCACAGGGCTAAAAAGGCTTTGACCAGTGCCGCTTGAGTTGTGTCATATTTGGTGCATGAGACTATTGTGAGAGATCTTCCAAAGTCCTACAAGTAAGGTTTTCTTGAGCACCAGTGGGGTGCTTTATTTTGGATAAGTGTAGAGGGAAACGCTGCTGCGGGCGGGATGTTACAGTTGTGTCAAGTCTCTTCAAAAAAGTTAAAAGCAGTGCTGGATTGAGCATGGTTTTGACAATTCAGATGCGTGGGATTTATTTATTCGGTTAGCCTGAGGGAGAAATGTTAGGTAGAAAAGATTATTGAAAAATAATGGGTCACAAACCATGGTCGGCAGTAAAGGTGTCGCCTGGTCTAGGCGGAGAGTGACTGAGCAGTGCTTTATGTTGACTTACGTGAAATGAATTGATTTCAGCTCACAGATTTGTGCAGCGCGGTTGGCGCCTTACGAGAAGTTCAAATTAAAAAAAAAAAACGTAACAAAGTGAGTGTGAACGATGTGTTCTGAACTTACTACAAAAGGTGTTTGCTGCCTGGGCCAAGGAACACCCTGGTGAAGGTGGCCTTGCAGCCAGAGTCCGCCCGCTCTGGAGACCCGGTGCCTGAGTCTCCACTGTCCCCAGTGTTTCCAAAATGAGAAAAAATAATGCCAGTGAGACAAGAGTTGAATAAGTACGGGGGGCAGGAGGGACTGCATGGGTCTTTCGTGGTCGGTAGGTCTGTTCACGCAGGAAATGGCATCTGAAGGAGAGGGCACGCACGAAGCTTGAAATTGTTTGCACTTTGAGGGGGAAGGGTGGAATTGTAAACATATGTGTGTGATCTAAGGAGAAATCCTTGAACCTGTTACTGTCATGCAAGCTGCAGTTGTTTGTGGAGCGTGACTGATGTCCAGTAGAATGTAAAATATCTGGAGCTGAAAGGCCTTGGGGATATCATTAGAAAATGTCAGTGTCCCCCTCGGGATGGTCAGATAGCGTGTCGAGTGGCACTTCCCCTGAGAGTAAAGAAACTTCTTCTTTGCATCAAAGGAGAGCTGTTGAAAATGCATTTTCCAGGATTAGCTTAGAACAGAAAATTTACTGGGCGTGCTTGCTGATTAGGTCGTGTGTTTGGGTATCTGGTTAGCGGACCAGGCTGCATTTTAACGAAGGAGGTGGATCAGTATCTCACAATCTTCTGGGGCATTGAATTTATTGTTTGGGATAACCTAGCTCCTCACCTATTGAAAAGCCCTTCTTTGCAATGAATGTATTGCCTGAAAAACACCAGTCCAGCACATTGCAAATTAAAGTTTTTTCACTCTGCCTGTTTTTGGAGCTCTACTTTGTACACAGTGTTATTTGATCACGCTTGCCGCAGGCTTCCCAGACATCAAAGCACATTCTGACATAGAACTTGCTACCCCACTGTAATACTAGTTAGATATCTACCTGTTTGATTGGGGATTATGTGATTTATTTTATTTTCTGCCTTGCTGTTGGCCCCCCGTGGAGGCTGCCTTTTGTGCACGGTACCCGTGTTCAGCCGTGGTTCCTCACAGCCCGGTTATCGGAGGGAGCTCCTTCTGTCTTGAGAAAATTTGCCTCCTCCTGGGGGATGTTCACGCGGTGTCTAATCGCTTGCCGAGAAAGGCTACGCAGACAGCATGGTCATGATTGGTTTTAAGTATTTTTGTGTTCCTTGGGTGGGTTAGAGTGTAACGTTTCATAGTGGATAATAATAACTTGGTGCTATGTAAATATTAAAAGAGGCTCATGTGTCTCAGGAAAGGAGGCTAATGCAAAAATGCTCTTTTAAGAGCAGAGCTATGATGTGGAACCAAACGCAGGCTGGTGTCAAAAAAGCTGATCTGGCCTCTGCCCAGTTCTGGGGTGGCAGAAGCGGTGTGGCGTGCGTCTGCGCTCCGCTGCGGAGAGCGTACCAAAGGAGCAGGAGACTTCCCTCCGTGTGCTGGGTCTCTTCCTTTTGCCCTTTCAATCTGGTGGAGAAGAGAGGAGAGAACCTGAGCGGGGAGGAGGCGATGGCCACGTGATAGCCCTGCGGTCGGTTGCTAGGGTCTCTCCTTTCCTCCTGGAGAGGTGGGTGAGGGTGGGTGTGCGTTTGTGGATGAAGTGCAACACAGTAAAGAAAAACAATACCTTAATCCTCTTTCTCTCTTTCTTCTCCCTTCACTCCATACTTTTCATTCCCTGTTACTCATACCTTTTTTTTTTTTTAACCATTTTTATTCATCCATGCCCTGTCATGTTTCCGTGGGACGCTGCCTGGGTGCCGCACCCAGCTCACCCTCTCTTTCTCCAATCAGGATGGCGGCCTAGTGGAAGAGCCCACTACTTCACCATTTTTGCCTTCACCAAGCCTGAAGCTCCCCCTTTCAAACAGTGCACTCCCTAATCAGACCCTGGGCGGGATTGCCTCGGGGCTGGGCATGCAAAACTTGAATTCTTCTAGACAGGTAAGGCTGGTGGGGGAGATCCCGAGCTGAGTTTCAGCGCTCTTGGGCTCGCTGCTCGTGCCCATCACCTCCCCCGGGGAGGGCAACAGCTTTGATCACATGAAATATCAGTGGAGAAACTACCTGCTGTGTAAACGTTGCACGTTACAGGGCATAAACCAACTGCCTAGCTATAATTAGCCTGATAATTACGTGCATCTACTGGGAAGAGACTGTAGTGTTAAGGGTTTGTACCACTGAGCCCTGGTAGAGCTCTGCCTGGGCTGATGCGAGGTGCCTTTGCCAAGGCGTTGCTGATGGTCGCAGACTCGAAGGCAGAGACACTGCTCTAATTCGTCTTTGCTGGCTGGCGTAATTATTCAGTGATGAGATGGGTGAGAAGTGATGGGGGCTTTTTTTTTTCCTGCTGTAAGTGTCAAGACAGCTCATAGCTTTGCCAGGGAGAAAGAAGGAAACTGTGCTTCTTGCACCTCTGGTCAGATAGAGCCTCGTGGCAACAGCGATGCTTTGGCCCCTGGGTAGAAGATGCTGAAAGGGGAGGAAGAGGAAAGAAAGGGAAAGGAGGTGGAGGGGGAGGTTGATAAACACCACAGGACTGAGAGGCTCTAAACTACTGTTGATTATGAAAAGGTTATTTTTTGCCATGTAAATAGCAGTTGCAGCAAAGTTAAGAAAGAACAACACAGGAAAAACTCGACACATCATTCTGTGGTGGCTTTTATTACATATATTCTTTTAAAGTTAGCTTTCTAAAGAACATACTTGTCCAGCCCTTCCAGCCCATTAAGCATACCTTTCAGAAGCGGAGGCTGCACTAATAGCATGTCCATTTTCAGTAGCTTTGTAAAGTGACTAAGTATAAAAAACTGCCTAGCTAATTTAAGGACTGGGATGCTGTGAGTGTAATGACTCCGTTCTCCTGCCCCTTGCTACACAAACATTGTTGGGAAGTGCATTTCTTTGTTCGTCTCGTGACCCCCTAGGGTTACGCATCCTTGGAAAAGCGATCTTCAGCTTCAGCTACCTTTTGTTCAGGCATCTGTACAAAGTTTTGGAGGTTTGGGATGCTGGGTACATGCCTGGTTCTAAACCTGATGGTCAATACAATCTGTGTCTGCTGGTTTATTTATTCTTGTCTGTCATAGTCACTGAGGGGAAAGACTGCACAGAGAAGTAACTTCCAGGTTATATGTTGAGTGACGTCTTGAAATGCCATCTGTCTTGTCCTGCTGTAGATACCGAGTGGCAATCTGGGTATGTTTGGCAATAGCGGAGCAGCACAAGCCAGGACCATGCAACAGCCGCAGCAACCGCCAGTGCAACCTCTTAATTCATCCCAGCCTAGTCTTCGTGCTCAAGTGCCTCAGTTTCTATCCCCTCAGGTTAGACAACACTGCCACTCATGACTTTTCCCTTTCCCTGGAGCTCTTCCACATGTGCTCTCCTCTCCCTTTGCATTCTGGCATGCTCCCGAGGCTTTGCAGCTACAGCCTGGCTGTGCCTGTGTCGATTTATCGACTGCCCAGTACGCGTGTTACACGGGTGAGGTGGGCTTGCGCGTGTGTTCTGTGCGTTGTCTGTGTGGGAACATTCTCCTGTTCCTTTTTGCAAAAAAGTAGTGTTTCTAGAGAGCTGAAGAGTTTGTTCTCACCTCTTTTTCTATAAATGAGCATTTGAGTATGGTTATTAAGGTTTGGTTTACAGCCTTTGTTAATTTTTTGATAGTTTGTGGTACTGCTTCTGGTAATAGTAGTATTTTACGTTGATGTCGTGTGACTCTTACTAACTAGTTGCCAGTGTTACAAGTGAATGTACAATGTTTAATACACTGCTCTTTCGTAGGTTCAAGCACAGCTTTTGCAGTTTGCAGCAAAAAACATTGGTCTCAGCCCTGCACAGTTAACCTCGCCAATTAATAATCCTCAGCATATGACGATGTTGAACCAGCTCTATCAGCTGCAGCTGGTAAGTTAAAAGACATGGCAAATAAGCTCGAAATCAGAGTTGAAGGCACGAAGATAAAACAAGAGAATAACTAACTAAATTTTTAAATGGGTGTGACAGATCTTTAAACCAATCAGATGCTGATTTCGTTGGTGGAGTTTCTTTTTAAAGAAATAAAACCATGGGTTTTGCCTCAGGCTTTATAAATAGTCATTTGTGGAAAGATTATCCTTTACAGCTGATCAGGGGAACTAAAAAGTGAGTTGTCTTCGTACTGGTATGAGTAACGTAGCATGTTGTCCGACAGCACGGAGCAGTGTGTTGCATGCCAGCGGGTGCAGCTGCTTGACCAGCAGGGAGATCAGCAGGCAGCGTACCGAGAGAAGTCTCGGCAGCGCTGGTGGCCTGATTACCTGGGGAGCTTCGGCTGCCTCACAGAATAATAAAGCGTAGGGTAATTAATAGAATGTATATTAAACGCATCATGTGATAAGAACCACTCATTTTTGTAAAGGTGTGTACTTTTGCTATATTTGCAAGTTTTACATATATGTGTTTCTATGAAAATACTTAATTGGATTTTAAGAATATTCTAAAAATAGATACTGCTAACAGTAAGTCAGTGTTTCCCAGGGTTAAACGCAAAATTGAGGATGACAAGCTAGCTTAATTGCTGATCATAATGTGCTAGTCAAACCCTGTTACTAGTAACAGCATTTGGTTATGTTTCCTAGTTTTGAGAAGCACAGCGTTGATCTCATGCCATGGTAGTAATTGAACAGTACCCAGCTACCTGAAAAATATCTGTATAGAACTCCTTTGGATTTTAAATTCATATGTTTCAGAGACACACTGTGGAAAAAAAATACACAGCCCAGTTAACTACATTAAAATTATGGAATTTTTCTGGAATAAAGCAGCACAATGGATTTAAATACAAAGTATTGTCAGAACTCAAAATGGCCAGAACAAATATAACTATTGCTATTTATCCTATTTGTATAATATGAACTTCTGTTTTCATTTTTGCTTTGTTACAATTTTTTCAGAACAAAAAATAGGCTGCTGTCTTTAATGACCACTTAATGCTCACAAACTTAATGCGTCAGTTCTTTTATTGATGTGTTTGGTTTTTTTGAATAAACCACAACAAATGCTGGACGAATCTCTGTAACAAGATTGTTGCTCTTGCTTCATTGACTGTTTTTGGAAAACTGTGATGTTTCTGTCTTTCCTCTTTCATAACGTACCGGCGCAGTTCAGGCCAGCTCGCTGGGCTGCTGTACACGTTAGGAGCTCTGACCTCTCCTTCCTGCCTTGCAGGCGTACCAACGTTTACAAATCCAGCAGCAGATGTTACAGGCTCAGCGTAATGTTTCCGGACCCATGAGACAACAGGAGCAGCAAGTAGGTTTGCCTGCCAGTTCAGTCTCGCTGGTAGACTTCGGTTTCAGTAGCTTAAGGAGATTGTAACACATTTTACCAAAGCAGCGAAAGCATCGTTAGAAGCAGTAATATAGTGCATGGCCTGAGCGAATAATAAAGCTATTTCACAGCATTTAGTAGATGGAGGAAAGCTCTTCAGCCCTTAATACAGTCAATTTTTATTTGTAAAGAGATCTATTGTGTTATTTCCCTGTAGAGAAAGGCACAAGAAATGCCGTGTCTTTTTGTTCCATCGAGCATTTATTGATCCTTTTTCTTGCCAGGTTGCACGTACAATCAATAACATGCAGCAGCAGATCCAGCAGCACCAGCGCCAGCTGGCCCAGGCCCTGCTTATGAAGCAGCAGCCTCCCCCTCCACATCTATCTTTGCACCCCTCTGCAGGCAAATCAGCCATGGATAGCTTTTCACCCCATCCCCAGGCTCCCGGCCTACCTGACCTGCAGACCAAAGAGCAACAGTCTTCACCGAACACCTTTGCTCCTTACCCTCTTTGTAAGTGTCCTTCATTAAAGCGGTTCGAGGTGAGAAAGACCAGGGGAGTATGGTTCGTTACTTCAGCATCTAAAGATTTTGCTCAACAATAGAATAAATACAGAAATACAAAAGGTGTGTTTATTAAATAATGTTGAAATGCCTAGAGAAGATCGTGGTACTCCGTGGCTGTTCAGGTGGGCTGTGCTTGTTCACCTGTGCTCTGCCTAGGAGTACCAGAACAGAAGGTTTGTGTACCTATCTACATATGTTGCTATTTAGGAACTAAATATAAATTAACAGCGTCATGTTGTAAAATACATGAATATCATCTTGATAAACAGGAACATCGTCTGGCAGTCAGGCAAAGTCACCTTTCCACTCTAACCGGCACTGGTAAGGCATCGGTTTGGTCAAGGTGTTTCAAGAAAGAAAAGCATCAGTTGGAAGGCATGCGGAAGGAGCGTTGTGCACGTTATTAGATATTTCAGAAACATGACTGCTAGGGAAAAAATGAAGTCCTCCACTCATGTAAGTCTAAAGAGAAGACTTAAGAGGCACGCAGGAGTCTTCTGAAATGTAGAAAATAGCCACAAAGTTTTCTTGCATGTGGCTAACCCAAGATGCAATAAACTTTTGTTCATAAAAGGAGATCCAGTTAAACATTAAGGATCGATTATTCGCTTTAAACAGAGTAGAGTACTGCAGTAAATTACCTGGGAAGTTGCTGAAATCTTCCCTGGTCATTTTGTGGTAGGTTAGACATTGATCTGTCGGAAATGGTTGATGTCAAAATAATCGACTCTGCCTCAAGACAAGGTGAACAGAACAACCTTTCAGACCTGTTTTCTGTCATTGTTTGGTGTATGCTACAGGCTTCATTTATGACATAAAGGAATTAATTTAATCTCTTTGTGACTCTCTATGCTGCATACAATAGAATTGCCAAGCTTTATCTACCGTGCAGCAGTTCAGAAGGTAATTCTGGCCGCTAGGGTTATAGCAGGGAGCATCAGAAGGCAAAAGAATTTATGAATTTAAGGCCTAAGTCTCAGAGCTTCTTATCATATCTCAGCTTCCTGTGATCTGCTAACATTCAGGATTATGTATCAAAAAGGACCCAGGCTGGTGTCACAGAAGCATGTCAGAATTACGCCCTGAGTATGGTCTGGGTGATTGCCTTCTGTGTATACAGAATACGTGCCCAGGCAGTACAGTACCTGCTCCGATGAATGGCAGCTGTTTGTGTGACCTTTTCATGGGTTGCTTTGTTTGGGATTTTAAAAATGTTGTTAGCAAAATACAATGGCAGACATCGTGGGGGTGTGCTGGTGAGACGTCAGGAGTCCTTTGGCTTAGCAGTGGAATGCTGCGAATTCCTCACTGGTGAAGACGCGGCATTCCAGTGCCTTCTTCCAGAATGCCTTTCCCGAGAGGAGTGAAGGGACTGCGAGTAGAGCTACTGGCAGCTTTAAGATACTATCCATACATCATTTTTTTTTTTTCCCTTTTAGCACACTTTTAACATTTTCTGAATTCATGGGAGTTGTGTTGGTGTTCCCATAAAAATGAAAGTTCTTGACAGCAGATTGAAAATTTGCATAGTAAATTACTACACATAGATACAGATGTCTGAAAAGCAGTGTTTAACAATTTCCTTAGCTGGATTTTTAAACGCATCTTTTAAGTCTCCAGTATATTATGGGTATCTAATGAGCTGTTTCCTCTTAGCTGGACTGAACCCGAATATGAATGTAAATAACATGGACATTACTGGTGGTTTGTCAGTGAAGGACACTTCTCAGTCCCAGTCTCGCCTTCCTCAGTGGACACACCCCAACTCAATGGATAATCTGTCTAGTGCTGCTTCTTCGCTTGACCAGAACTCCAGCAAGCACGGTATGTCTCTGGGTCAGTCTGCCTTTGGGAGACTGGAGTCGTATTGCAATTGTGATTTTTTTCTTGTGTTAATATTTTTGGTAAGTGCTTGGGAATGGTTGGTTCAGAGCGCCCTTGGAGACTATAATATTTTTGAGGTGATTTCTGCAGTCGCATTCAGCAATGCATTGAAATTCTTACAGCTTTCGCTTCCTGCATGCAATGTAGGAATGTTTTTTTCCTTTGCTGACTTTTGTTGCTCAGAACACAGAGTTCAAATAAGCCATTAGTGTTGGCAAAACAAGTCCCACCAGCTTCCCCTTGCCCTGCATACCTGCAATCCAAAAAAAACTTTACAGTGGCTTTCTCCCACAGCTTTTCCAATACCATCAAGCTTTCAGAGCCAGTCCTGCACAAAGGCACGATGGATTACAGAGTTGCCCACCCCGGGAGTTAGGAGCACAAACTTCATATTTTTCCAGAAGTGGCTGCTAATCTGGTTGAACACCTTTATCCCTAATGCCTCCACTGTCCCGGGTCGTTTATTCCTTTATTTCCTGTACCAAGTTTATCCTGTTAGAACATTGTGCTCTGTTAACTTTATTGTATCCTGAATTTTATTATGAGCAGCATGAATTATATCTTTTACAATAGTTTTTTATTCTGCAAGTAGCTGCACTGCGCATGCCACATTGTAGCTTGATAGTGTGTAGGAACACGAGAGTGGCCATTTCAGATCATCCATCCCGGCAGCAGCGAATACCTCGAGAAGGATGAGAAGGGGGCTTCTCCACAGTGATCTTCCTTAGGCTGCTGTCCCAACAAATTCCTCGTTAGCATCAGTGTAATGACTTGAATTGACTTAGTCTCTTTTTAGCAGTAATGTAATGCAAATTTCTTCAGCTTGAGTGTCTAGAGTGTACTAGTGGTGTATCTCACAGCTGTAATTCCTAGTAAGGCTTCAGAAGCTGTTAAGCCTTGCTTACTGTGTTTATATTTTAATTTTCTTTTTATCTTTATAATACAGAAAGGAAAAAATAAAATACAGGGACTGATGAAATTCCATACCCAAAATTAGTCCCATTCCTAAACAAAGCCTTTCCATTTATTCCTTACAGGTGCTATACCTGGAGGTTTAAGTATTGGTCCTCCGGGAAAGTCCTCCATTGATGACTCTTATGGCCGGTATGATCTGATTCAAAACAGTGAATCGCCCGCCAGTCCACCCGTAGCTGTTCCTCACAGCTGGTCACGTGCCAAAACTGATAGTGATAAAATTTCCAATGGCTCCAGCATAAACTGGCCACCAGGTAACAAAATACAAAGCATTCGTGTTAAACTGATGTCCTTAAAATGTGTTGTTGGTTTTACTTACTGAATCCTCATGCCTTCTGATATACAGGAACTTTGGAGAATTATGACTTCATATACTCTTCCTTTTATTATCTGTGAAACAGAGTTTCATCCAGGAGTGCCATGGAAAGGACTGCAGAACATTGATCCTGAGAATGACCCCGATGTTACTCCTGGAAGTGTTCCCACTGGGCCTACCATAAACACCACGATACAGGATGTTAATCGCTATCTTCTCAAGAGTGGAGGTAAACGCACAAATTACTTTCACATCTCTCGATACTTTCTTCTCCTTTCCAGAGAAGTTGACTTCATCTGTTATGGATGTGGTATATTTTTGCATGTAATCCTAATCTAATAATGCTCTGAACTTTCAATGAAAATCTAGAAATACTTGATTAAAATATGGGACTAAGAAATTCTGGTTTTGCCTGGGAATGTAAATATTTTTCTGTTGGAGAAGTCTGTGAGGTGTAATATAAACTGTAAGTTTTTGTAATGTATAACACTTTGTTTTGAACAAGATTTCGCTCTCCATACTGACCAAACTCGTACATACACTTTGAGAAATACTTAGAAGACACAACACAAAAGTTTCACAGTTGTTGCTGAGGCGGCAGGCTTCTGTCACACTAATTAATTGTAGCTGTGTTAGAATACCAGTCAGCAAAATAAATTAGACCTCTTTTATCCCCAAAGCCATTAAAGAAAAGAAAAGAGAGGGACTTGACTAGTAAACTAGTATTTCCCAGCGCCATTTCCATTCCTTTTGTCCTGGCAGTGTTTACTCCAGGATTATAAGGGTATTCTTCTAAACAACAAACCACTGGGACGCTGCTAGACGTGCTGAAAGGTGGCTTGGTTTGATTGCCATCAGCGTGCCGAAATGGGCAAGTTGTCTGCACTCTGTTAGAGCACTCTGATGCGCAGAGGAGCGGTGTGATCAGGACCTGTCAGGGTTGAAGAAGTGGATTTTGTTCTCGTAGTTACACCTGTGATGTCTGCGTGGATTGTCAGTCAGAGCTATCCTTGAAAGGCGTTTCCAGCCCTGGGCTTGTGAGCTCGGGTGAAGGGATGCGAAGTGTGAGGGCAGGAGGCAGGGGTTTTCGTTGCCTGGAATGGGTTTGAGTTGTCTCTGACCAGAACGCAATCTTTCTTTAAGCTGAAACATGAAGCATTTGTGTGCGTGGGTAATGGTGAATTAACTTTTAGTGACCCGAAAGTACTTGAAGGGGCAGGCAACCTGGGCGGTTTGGAGTTAGAGCAGTATAAAGCCGTAGTTCAGTCACGGATCAGATACGGTGCAGCCAAGAAACACTGCTTTAGGCCAAAAGCCTAGCCCTGCAGAGCTGTACCTGAAGGTAGATGACACCCACTACAGCTCTTCCTTCTTTATAGCAGAAGCTCTGTTGGTGTATAATCTATCTGTGGAAGGAAGAAAGAATCACGCCACTTCTAGAGGGTCAGCATAGGTGGCCTTTGCAGAAGTGAACAGGCCCCCAAGAGCCAAGACCTTCTGAAAAGCAGTGACCGCTGGGCTCCACGTATGCTTCCTGTCCTCATTAGCTTTTTTTCTTGTTAACACAATATTAGTAAAAAATGTAGTTGCTGAATCTGCTTCTTTGTGCTCGTATAACCTAGGTGTTTGCTCCTAGGTAAGATGATCTGTTACTGTCGGTACTGCTCCGTACGAGCGGGGGCTTCCACGGCGTGCTGCCGGGAAGGGGCTGTCTTTGAGCACTGCGCATGAGGTACACGGCGTGTATTAACAGAGCTGAAACCCGCTGAGAGGGCTGGCCTCTGGCCTGTGCCATCCTGGCACCCTGCACTTAGACAAAACCAAAGCTTTGGGTTGGTTTGGTTTGTTTTTTTTTTTTTAACTCAGTTTGCTAAGGAAGCCTTGCAGGGTCAGCTACTCTGAGCTGAAAGTCTTCATGGAATCCGGAACAGTTTCAGCCCTGTGGCTGTATGGGCCTTTCCATCTGAATAATTCCCTGCCCCTGCCTGGGGAGTAGACTGTTTCCAGAGGAGGCCAGGACACAGAGGTATTTTGCTGGAGACTGATGTCTGTACCACTGTGTCCTGTGGAGCGCAGGGAGTCTGGGTAAGGTAAAGTTCGGTTGGTTGCTGTTCCAGTGGAAAGTGTAGCCTGTGTTACTTGCTGAGCTGCGAGGGGTGAGATTGTCCTTTTACTTCCTCCCTTCTACCCTCAGTACAGCGCTCTTTTCCAAAGAACTCACCTGTTTTTATTAGTCACTTAAAGATGTTTCAGTATCACAGTATATCTCTGTATGTCAGGAATGATCAGTCACCTAGGATACACACTTAATTCTGGTGGTTGCTATAGAGAATACTTGCAGCTCTTCTGGTCTTTATAATGAAGATATTTTATTTTATGTTCAGTTTCTTTCATTTGCTGCCAGTAAGGAAATTGTATGTATGCTTAGATAGCTCCTCAGATTGTAAGTGATTTACCAAGATGGTTTCAGGCTATTTCATTTAATGTTATCAGTTTGAGAAGAGATTGCTAGAATATATCCTCGCTTTACTGGAAGTGTGGAAAAATCTAAAGATGTTTGTGGGCATTAGGATGTAGGAGAGGCGCTTACCTCGAGCTGTTTGGGACATGGTAAGAGGTCAGTGTATCGTATACATCTGTGCTTGCCTGCAGTTGCCACTGCTTAAGTCAGCCAGCCGAGCACCTTTATAAATGAAGCCTGTTTCTTGAGACTAAACAGTTTAACACTGATTTTTTGGGAGTCACGTATCTTAAAGGAAACGCAGGTTTTATCTTCTTCACAGGCGATAGTACATTTGCTACTGTACCAGCTTTCTTTTCTTTTCTGCTAAAGACTTCTGCTTCACTTTATCATGCTTCCTGTAACATTTCATTCCTAGACTTCAGAGACCGGGCTGATTAAGGAAAATGCCTTGCATGGTTTGTATTTGCGCATAATAGATTTGCTTATGTCACACCAAACATCATTATGGCCATCTTTCTTAGTTGCTTCTCTGCTGGTTCTGCAGGGTCATCCCCAACATCATCTCAGAATGCCACGCTGCCTTCATCGAGTGCCTGGCCGCTTAGTGCCTCCGGCTACAGTAGCTCTTTCAGCAGCATTGCATCCGCACCTAGCATTGCAGGTACGAAAAATGGCCTTTCTACTTTCACATCCCTCTGCATTCTGAGAAAAGGCCCTAGAAAGTGCTTTCCCAGTTAGTGCAGGAGTGCTGCTATAGACAGAAGCATGTTTTTTAGTCTTGTCTTAGGTAGGCAGCTCTCCTGGCAGCTCTGCAGTGGCGAACGTCGGATGGTATGCCTGGAATTGCGCTAAGGAAAAATGTATTTATTCCACTTGGTGCCACATGCTGTCACTCTGTATTGGCATTGAGATCTCTTAATGACTACCTCCATTGCAGCTTTGAGGAGGAACGTTGTGTTGTCTAGGACCTCAGCAGAAACACCCCTACTAGACCCCTCCAGTAAGAGCTGATACGGAATTTTGCTTAATAAACGCCCTGTTAAAAGTGAACCGTCTGCAGCTCCGGCAGAAGTTCAGTGGTACCTCAAGGAGGTGCTCTGCGTGGCTGTGGAGTGGTTCGCTTTGGCGTTCTTCAGTGTCTTCTAGTAGCCAGTCCAAAGCCTGATGCTCCCCTGGATGGCTGAGCTTGTAGATGGTCTAAATAATTATTACCCCTTTCTTTTTAATGAGCTATAAATTCTGGAGCATTGCTCTCTGCAAATCATGGAAACTTCGCTTGCGAACTGAATCCTGTTTGTCCCATTATAAAAATGTCCTGAGGCTGCTGTGTGGATTGTATTAGCATCTTCAAATCTAATCAGCGAAAACCCTGCCCTTCTGTGGATAAATGAAGCTGCAGCCTCCAGGCCATACTGCAGAATGCAACACAAAAAGGGTTTGTCTGAGATGGTTTACTCCAGTGAAAGGAGAAGAAAGGAATGGCTTGCTTTTCTTTTATCTGCCATGCATTTCTGCTTTGTTTGCTTTTTATCTTTTTGCAGTGTCATCTAATCTTTGTGTTACCCCATGAGAAGTAGTGACATAGCAACATCTCGTCTGTGGTAATGTGCATGTGTCATGTGCTGCATTGCAGGCTGAGCTACTCGGAGTTGTAAAACTCAGGCTTTCCCCTGTTCCCCCCACCATTTTACCCTTGTTAATGTCTTCACCATCATTGCCAAATTGTTTTTGTTGCTACAGTTTGCAGGAAGATGAGAGAGTGGTTGCCCTTTCACTTAAATTGTTGTGATTCAGTGTAGAATCACGTGAAATGATACCGATAAATAGCAGGGATCTGGGGAGCCTGTGTGTATGTAGCTGAGGCTGGGATGTGGTGACTGGGACACTGGGACAGGGGCTGCCTGTTGCAAAGCACTGGTGCAGTGTAAGCTTAATCTGCCAGTTCAGATTTGGTTTTTAGAAAAATTGTAAGATTTGTGCATCTTGGACTTTGTCAGACCAAGTATTTTCTTGGTGCTGGCAGCCAGCATTGAAGGATTCAGGCAGCACAGTCAGGGCAGCGTTTGCTCTGGCAGAAGGTGCGGTGGTGTGGCCGTTCAGTCCACTCCGGTCTCACGCTGCGGGTGTTGGCGGCGTGGGACTGTGCTGGGACAGGGCAATGGGACTCCGAATTTCGCTCTGTGTGTTGGCACGAGGAAGAAAGGCAGGGGTGTGCAAGTCTGAAGGTGAATGAAGGAGTTTGTTTTGGTGTCTGTAATTGGAATAAATTCTGTCTGCTGCTCTGAATGCTAATACTGTGTTTGTTGTTGTTCTTTTTTGTGTTATTTATAAAACTGCAGCTGGGGAGGAGCAGTAGTAAGGTAGTTTAAAGACTGGTTAGGGAAATAAACCGCACAGTGAGAAGTTCCAAAGAGTGACAGGTGGTGATACAGTCTGATCTTCTGAAGACGTCGTTTTCTCAAAGACACTTGCAAAAAGAGTATCTGTGACTGTGAATGTTCAGAAATACAGGTTTTGTTGGCCTCTGATCTTTGGAATTTTAATAATATATCAGAAGAGCATATGGATATACTGGTTACTTTAGATAAAATGAGTTGTGCAAGAAAAAGTGGTTGAGTTCTATTAAACTTTAGTGAGAGACAATCTTGAAGTATTTCCATATAATTTTGATGAAATTAGATTTCAAATACCGGTCTCTTTTTCATGTATCGTCTTTTAAGAGAAAATGGTAGAAGATCTTAAGAAGGGAACTGTATATGTAGCAGGTATTGTGAGGTTCATTAAATACAAAATTCTTTGAAAACGTAAATACTGGTGTAAGTAGGCTCAAAGGCCTAAGGATTTATGTCACTGGATGGTACAGGATGCTATGCTTGGCTCTCCTGCAAAGCTGGAAGAAAGTAGTCTGTACAGAAGCTTGATGTCTCATCCTACTTGGTTTAACAGTTGTTGCTAACTGAAAATACACAAATGTGTATTTTTCTGTTGCAGGTAAATTGTCAGACATCAAGTCTACGTGGTCCTCTGGCCCAATCTCTCACACACAAGCCTCTCTATCCCATGAACTATGGAAGGTACCCAGAAACACTACTGCTCCGACGAGACCACCTCCAGGCTTAACAAACACCAAGCCATCGTCTACGTGGGGTGCCAGTCCCCTGGGCTGGACCAGCTCTTACTCCTCTGGTACTCTTGGCTTCTGTGTTCTGTAACACCACGGTGCTGCCTCTTTGTCGTCGTTGGCTTTTACTCCGTGTCACAATAGTGAGGCTCCCCATAGCTCTGTATTCGGCTCCAGAAACTCAAGGGTTAATGCGAGTAGAGTGCGTCTGTTTTGGGGATGGAGCTCGTGACTGTTCAGTTTAGTTCATGGAAGTGGTAAAAAAGAAGCTGTCATCTTTCAGGTGGTCATATTAGTAATTTTGCGTAGGAATTGCCAAGTAGTTCACTCCAGCTAGGATTTTTTTTTCCATTTTCTTGATTTCTAAAAATACATTTTAAACATGTTTCTTGTTTTGTGGTATGATCTATGACTGCCTACGAGGCTTCAAGATGAGCGAAACAGCCCATGGAATTTAATATGGAACACATTTTTGGAGCATGGATATGAAGCATTTTAGGACCTGATGGCATTGCAGGGCCCTCGGGGAATGTCTTAATATTTTCCTGCAGGCTCTTTTTTTAGATGTCGTTGTTTTGCTGTGATACAAATAGGAGAAACCATGGTCTGGCCTTATAAATACATAACTCATGTTTGTTTGTGAAGTAGTGTCAGCTTGAAAAGTATTACACCTATTTTATAAAGCTGACTACTTTATTAATCTGCTTTCACTAAGCTGGGAATTAAATGTTCCTCCCTCTTCTTGCCATTTCTATTTCGTGTGTTTTCTTCACCAACACGCCACCTTGTGGGCAGAGAGTGCTGGTGCCAGGGTTCTCTGGAGCCCGAGTGTGGTCACGCGTGTGACTACAGAAGTACTGCGGTTTCTCAAATGCCACTCAGAAATATCAAGCTTGTACAGTCTCTCATTGTAAAACACCAGGCTGAAGCTGGAAAAGCAGGTTTTCTTGGTTATGCCCTTGTATCTGTAATCAGAACATTGTCAGTGCAGAAATATGTTTTGAATAAGGCGTATACATTAATCTGTCACTGGCTTGGTAGCGGAATGCTGCAGTGCTATAAAAATCTTTTAATAGCAGGCAGCAATCTGAGCATGGACATCTGAATTGCTTTTAAAATGTGTCTTCCAGATTCATTCTAATGTCACCTGAGGTACAGTGTGTTGCAGTGTCATACCTGCATCCGCTGGTTTGCTAATAGTTATTGTAGGAATGTGAAAAATGCCACAGATCTTTTAAATGTAACAAAACGGGCTTTCATTCAGCAACCTTTCATTCCAAAGACAACAATAAATCAAGATGTGAGGAAGCAGCTGCAGCGTTGGTTTTCAGTAGCAGCAACGCTCAGCAGTATGAGGTGATTCCAGAGAAGTTTTCTTCTTGCCATGTGCTCTCCCCATCGTGATAAAACGTTTTGTTGTGGCGTTTGTGTTGCAGGTTCTGCGTGGAGTACTGACAGCTCAGGGAGAACAAGCAGCTGGCTGGTTCTTCGCAACCTCACACCCCAGGTGAACAGAAGTGCACATACCCAGGCGTGAAAAGGGACGGGCCACATTGGAGGGGTGACGGGAAGAACAGTTACCAACCTTGGTCATTTGGTTGATTTGAAGGGAAAATAATTATTCTGCATTTATTACAAGTGTCTGTCTTCTGCACAGAATTTGTCGAGTTTTTAAAGTGCTGTCAAATCAGGTGTGAACTTTGAAGGCTGTAATTAGTCATTCATTGTGCACCATTTATGTATGTGGAAGTTTGGAGGTGAGTGATGTTTTAAAGCAGATACAGAGATGTAAAATCTGCTTTTCCTATGGAGTTTTTTTTGGTTCTTCTTCTAAGCCTGTCAGATCCTCTCATCCTCCCTGTAGTGTCATCCACAGGAAGAACATAAGCTACAAAGCCTTGAACATAGACAGACATCCAAATTAATCGGGAAGGAAATTGAGTTATATTAATAAACAATGTGGTTTTCCTTAGACTTATTTGTGGACTTCTGTGGACTTCCAATGAGAAGTATAATTTGTATCACCTAAACTGGGAGATCTTGTGCACTGGACTGTAGGGAAGTCTTAAAAAGACAGGATGTCTTGCTCACTGAAGACAGTCAGAAGTCTATAATTAAGTTCTTTGTATGGAAGGAAAACTTTTTTCCCCTTTCACCTGTACTTATTCTTTTAGCTTTTAAAACTTCTTTAGTTAAATTTCATT